AAGGGCAAAATTTCCCATAAAAATAACCAGAATGGAATTACGAAAATTAAGCTAATGAAAACGAAATTATGCGCAGTGAACTCAGAATTAGGCGCAAATTCACTGCCGTTCTAGTTATTCTTAAAGCTGTTAATAATTAGGTATTAACTTAATTTTATTCCGGGTAAATGTTCGATAGCGTAATTGGCACAAAATTCGTTTTAAAACGGCAATTGAATGGGAAGCGCTCTCAAAGGAACTGTACTGAATTGTAGCTTCAAACATTTTGGGTCCTAATTATATTAATTATACATTCTGCACTTCAGGACGTCGGAAACACTATAAATTGCAAATACCTGATTACTTGCAAAATAGATATGTAAGGTGATTAATACTTGAATTACAAATAGTTTTCACAAAATAACTAGTACGGCAATTTCATTCTGAATTTTACCGTTTATCAAATTGCATCCAGTTTAGTATATCGTATAATATCTAATTCAGTGCATTTAATAGTGAAGCTATTAGTGAAAAATAATAGCAATTGTACCAACATTAAATTACACGGCGTGCTCTGTTTAAATGGTCCAAATGAACTATAAATGCACTAAATTTTATGGGACCTATTTCTTTATTAGAATGATAATGCGGTATATAAAGTCCCGTCTGTTTACAGCCGTATCATTTAATTTATAGATGAGTGTCATTAGATTTCGTCTTTAGGCTATGTCGGAATGATTATTCTTTTTATGGCTTCCTATAAAGAGTAGGGCTAAGTCGATGTTATCGGTCCTAATAACTGATAATGTGGTTTAAAGTTTTATGTATTTTGAAACGAAGAAAGTGTAGTAAGCTTCGTTTATTAATTTTGTTTTCCATCTTTGATTGTGGTAATCAATTTTATTAGTACCTTCCAATTGTTGAGCGAACGTTCGACTGAATAATGAATTCTATTTAAACATCGATACCTTGTTAGAGACTACAAATAAATAAATGGTTTTGTATTCGCTGAGCTAGACTTTCGATTCTATAAGACCAACTTTCTAAAAGAAATAAAATTTTGAAAACACAACAGATTGAACAAATGCTTACATTTCTAAAGTTTTCAACTCAATATCATAATTTCATTAACTTAAGGGCCCTATTTGCTCATACAACGTCGTATCCAATTTAAACTCAGCAAGAAGCAGATTAGATTAAGCATTCCATTACGCAGTTGGTCCACAATCTCCGTTGCTACACTACACAAATAACGCAATGTACGGAATTCTAAACTTTTGATCCCGCATCTTCGTACTCCGTAGCAAGTTACGAGTTAGATTTGGCTCTCGTGCAAAATGCAAACAAAAGAGATTAGTTTCAGGATGGCGTTGGTAGGCTACATCCATGTTATTGCTTTTAATGAAGTCTGAGTGGAACGTTCATTGCGGATAGAGAGTAATCCTGGACGTATGAAATGGTCCTTTGAGGGTTGAACTTTCTAAAAATGGGCACTTCGGGTGATTCAAACGTGGAGAGGATTACGATGATTCTGTATTATAATGGTGTATCTTAAGTGTTCTAGTATCCTACTTCGGTATTCTGAGCACGTAATGTGTAAGGAAGATAAGTTGGCGAACTATTTGTATTGTACGGTGCGAGTGAGATGGAAATTATTATATGGTTACTAAGCTCTTGAACGATATGGACCAGAATATACTTGTACAGGAGTAGGTTTTCGTACGAAAACTGTAGTTTTTTAACAGAGACTTTTTATACCACAAATTCACATCAAAGTTCCGAGTAAATCGTACCAAAATGAATGAATAATGTAATCAAATTATCAAACAGAAGATAGATTACATAACATATTCACGCATGAGTGATCCCTATATCGAACACTGGCCAAACATTAATCTCTATTTAGATAGACAAATTTAAATCACTCCTTCTAAACACACCCACTTATCTGCCGTCGTACAAAATGCGGGAACCAACAATTCATCAATCAAGACAAGGATATCTACTTAAAAACACATTAACTCACTTCCTTAAATACACAAACGTAGCCAACAGGTGCCTAGGTAACTCTCTTAAAACTTATCTTCATTCCAACATAATTGTTATTAACGAATTTCAACATACGATAAGGCGTCTCAACATTAAATTGTCAAGAAATCATTTAACTATCATTTATAATTTTAACTGATAACTTATTTGGACAAAGTTCTAAGTGGTTTCCCAGTATACACAATAGGAACCTTGTCTAACTCATTACTGCTTAAACAAACGATTTCTGATTGTGCGTTTGTATATCTGGATTTAGGGCGGATGTACACGTGATGTGGGCTTGACACGGTGACGTAGTAATAATAGTTTGTAGGCTCGTTATAGAATAAAAACGGCATAGGTTATGCTTCGTTTACACCGGCCCCTACCATGTAGAGACCGCCTATTTAACGATATATACCGCCCGATATACTCTCACGGTTCGTAGATCTCGCTTATAATGGTCTCCACATAACGAGTTCCACCAAAAGTAATGGACACCGGTACATTGTTTGAAATAAGACCCCAAATTTTTGCCCAATATAAAACTCCCTTAAATAAAAATACTGATCTTAAGCAGATTTCATTTATGTCATAACGTTTCAAATAAATTTCTTTATAGTTGATGTCCAAACATCACTTAAATGAAACTTAGTACAAGAAAGCGTACTAAAAAGAAACGTAAAAATTCTAATCACACTTTATTTCCATTGTATAAAAGTAAGCACTTATTTAAAACCAATATAACAAGAAATAAGTATAAAATTAAGTTACCATTATAACCGTTCTTGAATGTAAATCGACGGCAAAGCGATCAAACTGAATATCTTATTCGCTCTTAAAGTCAATTTAAATATTTTATACCAAAGTTACGTTTGGGCCCGCCTAATGTCGGACGAGAGACGAAGAAAATTAAACTTGTTACTACATTACTCTAAGAACAGGTAACTTTTTAATTCCCCTAACAAAATTGTCATATTTTCCTTTGAGCGGACCCTAATGAAATAAACGGAAGAGAACAGACTGGACTGTTGTAGCATTTTTATAAGCACTTTATATTCACGACACTCAGCATCATGCAGTTTTGTGAATGTTTACAATACGCTCCTTACTCCAGAGACGTTCTATTTATTACGGCTAACTTAATAACAGAGAAATCTTTTGAAGTCGACGAAAGTTCCGTAAAACAAAGAGGTGGGCCCTTTACGACGCTCCTCGCTGAGGACGGCTGATAATTAACAAGTCTCAGATTTATTACGAGTTGAATTAGCTTTCAACGTTTCATATCATAATCCGAAAGCGTTTTATTGTCCCAAGAGCGGCGGATTCTTCGACGATGGTAATTAATTACACGTAACACGGCTTAACGACAATTTTGAAGGAACTCTCAGTTGAGTACTTTGTGTAATAAAGACAGGTATTAAACAGGGAGTTCTGAAGTTTGTATTACATTGTGAGCCAATTTTGAGAGTAAATATTTTTAGAGACGTTATAATATTTAAGACGGATTAGCAAGTCTGTTTCAAGCTTTTAGCGGCTTTAAAAGAACACGTGTAGAGGTTTATCCTTGTTTATAACTTTGTTATTCCGCATTGCATTACCATAAAATAGTAGTCACTTTCCCTGTTAGTAAAGTGAAAGTACATTATTGCTTACCATGAAAAACTATTTTACGACCCAGAAGCAGTTCTTTTAGAAGACCAGATAACGCACCAAAGCATTCCGCAAAACAATTCAGTGAAGTAATAATTGTTCCCTTCTTCATCACGACATGAAAGTCGGACCGAAAGACATAAAAAGTAAACGTATTGTAAGGATGTCCTTCGCACAATATGTCAAAAATAGCCGTCATTGTTCTTCTGGTGTACTGGGTCCAGTAATTGTGTCAGTGACAAAATGTCCTCTGCCAAAAACTCCAGAGAACTGGTTGGCCATAAAAGTCACATGTTCGTCGGGGGCTTATTACCGCAATAACAATTTAAGGAAGCCAAAAGGGTGGCGCGGAATTCTACGGAAACTTTTGTTTGCGTCTCAGTCGCCCGAATTGTTTTATAAACAATGTTTACAACGGTAACTTTATGGTCCACTTGTTTTATCTCAGTTTTTCACTGCGACACTATTTTCTAAAAGTTATTGTTTGAACAATTTTGTTATTGTTGTTATGACTCAAAGTTTCACTTTTAGTTACCCATTTTGTGATTGGATACAAACGATTTTGCTTTCATTTACGGGTTTACGATATTTGTGTTTCACTTTTGCAACATTTGAGGATAATAAAAATAAATGTTGTGTGTCGAATGAGTTGTTTAAAAGTGAAATTCGTTGATGACTCAAAGCTTTGCTCAAACTTCGTTATGCGGAACATGAATTGCAATTTAAATAATATCTGTCTATAAAGTATGCAATGGATATTGAATGAAAATATTCGAAATTGGTTAACAGCTACTAACATAGGTGGGAATTTGTTCACAAATGTACGTTATTTATCAATAGTAATATCACTAAAGGTGTGTGAATACTTTTATGAAGGCATTAAATGTAAATTGACATGAGAGATGAGAGTGCTGAACACTTAACACTGACACTACTAAATGTCAGCTTAACCTGTAAGGTACAATTTATGGTGAGGACATATCGTCTCGTTACTATCATCAAGTTTACGATGATACCTCGAATTCTATACAAACCTACGTGAATACTAAGCTCGCAACAGTGATACAAATTTTATATCACCTCGTTCGCCTAATAATCGCCTCATTTCGTGGAATTAAAAATAAATAAAATTGTATAGTAATTTTTGAGATTGCATTTAATGCATATGTATAATAATATTACTAGTTGACATGGTGATTCGACGAATACTATTCGTTTTGTGTCAAAATTTACTGGTCCAGCTATTCGCAACATAGCAAAACAAACAAAAAATATTTAATTTTATAAATATATAATATTTTAGCCATTGAAAATAGAACTGCGAATATCCAAAAACACACTGAGGTACCAGGGTCTCAGAAGTCGGAAGAGCATCGTGTGTCGTGACTGACTCTTGGCCTGAATATTTTACCTGGTGTGCCTGGCGGCGCCATCTCACCATACGAGACTCGTGTCTGAAATCGCTGACGTTCTTGTACTATGTGAAAAGAATTCATCGTTTTGCAACGCCATGTCTAGGGTAAAAGCCTTTTAGTAAATATCACTGGAACTTGAATAAAATACTAGTTGGATGCCTCAGTTTATCTGTTCTATGTTATCTTTAAAGAGTAGAATGTTTTCAGGGTTCATGTTTTCGTAATATTTGTGTAAATACTAGATTATTATCTACTACAATGTATTTAGAAACGTAGGACTATGTGTATGTGTGTGTGCTTAAGCAAGACAAAAATTCGTATCTTTTTATATGAAATACACTTTAGGTTAAACCTTTACCGCATGGCTTAAAACTTTGGAGCGATAAAAAAGAATAAATTTCAACCGAATGAAAATTTTCACATAAAATTTTTGTATAAATCCAGAAATAGAAATAAAGCAGATCTGGATTTACTTTCTTAAATTACACCTTTTTTTTTTTTTTTTTTGAGGGGGGAAAATCATCCAATGACTTCTCCCGCCCGGGTGAGGCGGGAGGGAGTGTCAGACTCTTACTGACTAAAAACCACCCCGTTCCTACTCCTGCACTTCGAGCCGGAGCCCCGGCAACCCGTTAAGTCTTCCGCGGCTCCGTATCGGCATCAGCCCTGTTAGGCCCCATCTGTGGTGGTCTGATGGCTCCTTGAGGCGCGCGCGGAACGCGACGCGCCGTACGCTCGGGCCTGGTTCTGGTCGGGCGGCGAGTCACCCGTGCTCGCCGTCCGCAGGCCCGTGCTTACGGTGGCCGGAGATCGTCTCGCGATCCCCGACGCCCGGAGTGTCTCTCGCGACGGCCGGGTCGTGAGGAGGTTCGTTCCCTCACGCGCTCCGCCTCCTCCTTAGCTAGCATGACTGCTTCGCAGAAGGAGGAGACGGCATCCCAGTCCCCCTCGCTCCGTACCATGGTCTGAACCAGAGCCGGATGCGAGAGGTCGCCGTCGCCGATCACATTCCTGAGGACACGGCGGTGCTCAGTCCACGCAGGACACACCGCCACCGTATGCTCCACCGTGTCCTCCGGGCGATCCTCGCAGTGATGACACCCGGGCGTTTCCTCCCGCCCAATCCGAAACAGGAACCTACCGAAACTCCCGTGTCCGGTAAGCACCTGCGTCAGGCGGTAGGTGAGGACGCCGTAGCGTCTCTCAAGCCACTCCTCAAAGAGGGGACTTACCGCTGCAATGACAGCGAGCCCAGCCTTCGGTTGCGACAGTCGTTGCTGCCATTCCGCCATGAGATCACGCCGGAGCTCATCCCGCCACGCATTAATCTGGCGCGGCAGCGGAGATTCGCCCCGGCGACGTGCCTCCGCGCGCAAACAAAACACGCGCGCGAGCACCTTCGCCTCCAGATCCCACGGCGGTAATCCGGCAAGGAGGTTCGCCGCCTCCCCGGAGATCGTGCGATATCCGCGTATCAATCGGATCGCCATGACCCTCTGTGATGTGAGCAGCGCCCGAGCGGGCCGCCGCATCAGGTTCGGCGCCCACACAGGGGCGCCGTAGAGGGCCATGGACCGCACGACCCCGGCGTATAACCTCCGGCAGGAGGCGTTTGGCCCCCCGAGGTTGGGTAGGAGGCGCTTAAGCGCCGCCCCCGTCCTTTCCAACTTAGGAGCCAAACGTCGGAAATGCTCCACGAAGTTCCACCGACTGTCGAGGACGAGTCCTAGGTACTTCATCGTCGTCTCGACGCCGATGGTAACTCCTCCCGCCGTTAATTGAGACTCACCCGGAGGTGGCGCGTTCCCGCGGCCATAAAAACACATGGCCTCGGACTTGTGGAGCGCCACCTCGAGTCCCAGTTGCCGGATTCTTTCAACGACTGTCGTAACCGCTCTCGCCGTTAAATTAGCCGCCGCCTGATGCGACCTCCCTTGAGCTACCACCAGTGTGTCGTCAGCGTAACAGACCACGCTGACGTTGTTCGGGAGGTCGGTGCGCAGCACCCAGTCATAGCCGATGTTCCACAGGAGCGGCCCCAAAACCGAACCCTGTGGAACACCGCGCGACGTCTCTCGTCGGTTCCACTCACCTCGGTGACCGGGGTAAATGACGGACCGTTCCGTCAGGTATGCCTCGATTACACGACGGAGATAGGTGGGCACCCGATGATATCGAAGTGCCTCCAAAATGCAGCTCCAGGGCAGGGAGTTGAAGGCATTGGCGATGTCCAAGGACACCGCCACTACGACCTTACCCCTGGACACTGCAGTCCCCGTCGTGAGGTCTCTTACACGCATGATGGCGTCCACCGTGGAACGCCCTCTGCGGAAGCCGAACTGGCCGTCCGACAGGTCCGGCCCAACATCCGACAGGTGCGCGACGAGGCGGTTCGAAATGATCCTTTCGAAAACTTTTCCCACCTCGTCGAGCAACACGATGGGCCGGTACGCAGACGGAGAGTCCGCAGGGCGCCCCGGCTTCTTCACTAGGACCAATTTACCCGCCTTCCACAATTGCGGGAACTGGCCCCTCTCCAAGCATGCGCTGTAGAGACCAATTAATCGAGGCTCGAGAGCCTCCGAGGCCAGGACCCACGCCTTGCCGTGCAGTCCGTCGGGTCCCGGGGCGGTGTTCTTGGCGCCCATCCGGCGCACCGCCGCTCTCAACTCGGCCTCGGTCACCTCCGAAACTGTGTCGCCGTCGTCTTCGCTGTGGCCCGCATAGGGCACCGCAGGGGGCGGAGTCATGGACGGAGGGGTGAAACCCCTCTGTAGTCGGGGGAACAAGGCGCCGACCACCTCCTCCACTACCTCTGGCCGGAGACTCTGAGTCAGCGGGGGAGCCCATGTGCGGAGCTTATCCCGCACCATCCGATAGGGGCGTCCCCACGGGTCTCTGTTCAGAGTCTCCAAGAACTCCTGGAGGGCATTCTCTTTGGCCCGCCGTATCTCCGCTTTGAGGGCGGCCTTCGCCGCCTTGTACCCCTCGTACAACTCCGCCTCTCTGACCTCTGCGTCCTGAGGACGGATACGAAGCCTGCGGTGCCTGGTGTACCGGCGTCGCGCAGCAGTGCATGCACTGCGTAGAGCAGCCAGCTCTTGCGACCACCAGTACGTCTGGCGCTTGCGCTGACCTGGCCGGACCCGGGGCATCGCCACGTCACAGATTCTGGACATGGCGTCCTGGAGCCACCTCGCCTCCTCGTCGATGTCGGCAGGCCTGTGCGGTGGTATCACCCAGGCCTGCACGATTGCGGCTTCCAGGAATAGCTCCCGGTCCAGCTGTCTCAGCGCCCAACGCGGGCCACATGGGGCCTGTCTGACCGGCGGGTCCGCGGACTCGGTGGAGACGTTAAACCGGATATACCGGTGGTCGGAGTACGTTTCCACCTCCTCCATGACACGCCAGTCAACGACACGCGGTGATAGAGCAGGGCTAGCGAACGAAATGTCCACCACCGACTCGCCCTGCATCCGCACGCACGTGGGGACAGAACCCCGGTTCAGGACGACTAGGCCTGCCTCAAGGGCCCAGTCTTCCACCATCCTACCCCGAACATCAGTAAACCGGGAACCCCAAGCCAAGTTTTTGGCATTGAAGTCCCCGAGGACTAGCACGGGGAGGGAACGGAACCCGACAACGACGGCGACCAACTCCCTCAGGGAGTTGTGGAACTCGGCGAGAGTTCGGTTCGGAGAGAAATACACGCCCACCACAGCGATCTCTCCGAACCGTGCTGCGACACAACCCCGGCCTCTCTGAACGGCCTCGAGAGTCGGGGTACCGGCGGCGGCTGACGAGATGATGGTCACCGAGCCGTCCAAGTCCGCCACCCAGTGATCCCTGGGCGGGACAAAATACGGCTCGGAGACCACAGCGACATTTATTGACCACTGCGCCATGCTCTGAAGCAGGAGATCCTGAGCGGCGGCGCAGTGGTTGATGTTCGCCTGAAGGAGGCGGAATGGAGCTATTATTGGCAATCCATCCCAGCCTCCTCCCTGACGGCATTACAGCCAGTGGTGGCCGCGGCGACGGCATTAGTGGCGACTGCAGCGGCGGGGGCGGGACTGACGGGGACAGCGGAGGGCCTACCCTTGCCCCGGGATTTGGCAGGAGGGGAACAGGCCTTGCTCCCGACCCGGTGATTGGCCGGCTTACCAACCGCCGCACATGCGTGACAGTGTAGCGGGGCAGAGCACGAGCCGGCTCTGTGACCGGGCTGACCGCAACGGAAGCAGCAGTCACTGCGGTCCACCTCCGAGGTGCACCTAGCGCTCACGTGGTCACCTACGTGGCAGCGGAAACACCTTATAGGTCGGACCTCGAGCAGTTTGACCTGCGCCGAGACCCAGCCTACCAGGAGCCTTCGACCCTCCTTTATTTTCTTGGCCGCTGAGACGGGGCAGCTCACTACAACCGTTCGCAACCCCGAATTATCTGGACGGATGGTGCCGGTCTTAACCTGCTCTGCAGGGCACTCACCCGTCCTGGCCACAGCGGCCACAACCTCCTCCTCCGTCACGGAGTCGTCCAGGCCCATTATACGCAACTCCAGGCACTTGGTTGGCCTTGACACGCGAGCCTCGTCTGCACCAAGGCACACCCTGAGCCTTTCGGCTAGAGCGTCAGCGGTTGGACCGCTGGTCGCGCCGGGGACCTCTAGTAAACGGGCTCCAGTCGCCGTCACTTTCAAAGAGAACCCGTTAGGGGCCCCGTACTCCGCGGGAGTTACCGCCTGCTTCAGTTTGGCGAGGATGTCGCCATATGTCACGCCTCTTTTGACCGCGTCCGGCTGTAGAGTTATCACTACAGCCGCGGTTTTAGGGGCGACAAGCATTGCCGCAGCGCGCTTTTCCTTGCGCCGCTGCCGCTGCCTCTGCCGCTGCTCCTTTTTTCGGCGCTTTCGCCCTTCCTTGGCGACCCTCCTCGCCTCTCCGACCACCTGCCATCCGCCGCCGCTGGCAGGGGAACCCGAAGTTCGGGTAGGCTCCACAGCTGGGGCAGTAGACGGCCCAGGCACGGCGCCCCCACGCCTACGAACTGTTGGCGCCCTCACCACCGTTTCAGCTGAAGCCTGCGCCGGCGAAGCCGCCGGCGGTTGGGCCCGGACACCGCTGGACCGACCAGGAGTAGTCGGCATAGCCGCCGCAGCCGCAAATGTGCGCGGTGCTGCTTGACTCCCTGCGAGTGGGGGGCGGAGGATCCTGCTCTCCAGCACGTCAAAACGCTGCTGGAACGCAGCCATCTCCCGCCGCACCAGGCCGATTATGTCGGCCTCCACTGGCTGCGAGGCTCGGGGTCGACCCTCGCGAGCAGCGGCGAGCTCGGCCTTGGCTGACCGAAGCTCGTCCTCCATAGCCGCATTGGAGGCTGTCAGCCGGATCATTTCTCGGCGCATCTCCCCCAGCTCTTTTTGCAAGGCGGCCATCTGCTGCCCTGCCGCTGAAGGCAGTCCACACTGTCGAGCCGCTTTCATAATGGCTGCCTTCGCTTGCCTTAACACTCCGTTTCGGCCCTTCTCGGACTTCTGCTCAGCCACCGTCCGGAGTGTTTGTTTGACCACCTTGCAAAGGTCGCCATTTATGGCACCAAGGTCGCCTACCGAGCCCTCGCCGCCAGATTCTGATGAGTCAGCTTCAGCTGACTCGGCCCGAGTAGCGGCCATCGGCCTCTCGCAGCCCTTTCTTCGACCCCTACCCCGCGCAGCCGTAGGGATCTTAGGGGCTGGAGCCTCCTGCTCGTTGGAGGACGGATCCCCGCCCTCCTTCAACCTGGGACGTTTAAACGTCCCCTTTTTTTGGCGCTGTGAACTCAAGCTGCGCAATGAGTAAGCGCCAGATGCGGAAGAGTAGTCAGACTCTGCTTCCGACATCCTCCGACTTAAGGCCCGTGTGAGGGATTGGCTGGACGACTCCAACGCTTCCCCACGGGTTCCAGAGCCACCCTGGCTCTCCCCGCCAACAGCAAGCGAACTAAGCTCGCTTGCCCTCTCCTCCTCCGGTGTTTTAGTTTTATTTTTATTTTTATTATCAGACTCCATACAATTCCCACGAGTATGGGGGAAATAAACGGTCCGCCCAGGCAGTGCCCCCTGTACCTGGGTAAGTGTATATTTGTTTCCCAACTAGAGGGTCCACCGGTACCCTAGCTGGGGGTGCGCTCACGACTGACACTACTCCTCAGCCATGCATACCCTCGCCGCGCACCAGAACTTGGTATTGGAGGAATTTTTTATAGAGGTTATCTTCCTCGCGGTCCAGGCGACCAAGCCAAGACCCTCGTCCCGTTCGGAGTCATAAGACACGATCTCTTCACGGATTACGATATCGACAGATGCAATCGAGAACAGCGTGTGTCCCGATGCTGCTCGTTGGCAGGGTGAGTGCTCAACGAGCTCTGCCCTTGCCTCTCCGCCACGTTCTCTGCTGAATTCAGAGAGACGGGCGGAGGAGCGACCCCTCGGAAGCGCAGGGACAAAACCCGTCGCCTCCAGAACCCATACCGGGTTCGCCCGCCCTGTCCAGAAGTCCGCTACGGACAATAGTCACTCCAACCCTATCACCCCCGTTAGGGAGACTATCACCCGTACCCAGGGTGCACCACGGGGAGGTCTTCTGGCACCGCACCCCTCTTAAATTACACCTCCACTTTAAATTTCAGTAGAATTTATTCATGAAATTGATACCAAAGCTTTTGATCCGTTTCTTTATACAAGATATCTTTCTTTTTCACCTTGAAAATATTTATATAAAAATTTAGACTTGACGGTATCAAAGATTTTGAATAATTTTATATTTTATCGTAACCGGATAATCTCATTAAAACAAGTAATACTTATTATACTTAACTACTACGCAATAATTATAAAAGAGCATCAGGTATACTTTAATCGTCTATTTCAATCTGTAAGGAACATCACTAAATACCAACTAATGACAGGCCAATCTCGGAACATTTATTTATCCCAAACCCGTTTTGACTTACAAATTACGGTTGTATCGATTCAATATAACCTTGTTAGGCAATGCCGACGCGACGGAATAGAACCACAAAAAGTTCCAGAACTGTTATTTTATATTTTAATGTGAAAATTGTTACAAGTTCGCGGCAAAGCAGCTGTAACTTTAACAATGTTGGATTCCTTTCCTAAATTATATGATGACGGGCTTGTTAACCGCCTTGGTGGTGTTCCAAAAGTAGTGCAGTGAAAAAATCTTGATACTGTCCGTGCTCGCCCTTCTGAATTAAGGGTCCGTTGAGCATAAAGTGGAGTCCAATTAAGAAATTTATAGTCCGAACGCGTTGTAAAACAATAAATTGTACAATGGCTCTCAACGGCATGGTCTATTAATTACGTGCACCAGTTTCTAGGGTCATTATTAGGGTAGGCTTGCAGCCGTTTATTGTTGAAGCCTACGCAATATTATGTGATGCCGATGTTTATTATTAGAATTACGGGGAGAGGGAATGCTGGTATGGTTTTAGTTACTTAATTGGCAAAGCTATTTTGTATTTTGGTATGTGCTTTAGGACATTTCAGTTAAAATAAAGATTTCTGATGTTTCAATCAATAATTTAATTACAACAAAATTATTATCTTTATTGAACATCTCATTGTAAAATCGTCAACTATGGCCTACCTTCTATTACTGCTTATGTATTATTTAATAGCTATCCGTATGAAGGTAATGATTTATTTCTCATTTCACGAAAACAAACAGACCAACCCCAAATCGTCCTATGAAAATATTTGAAAATCTCGATTTAGTATAGTGCCAATAATAACATATTAAATGTTTTCTTGGGACTACAGCCCGCGGCTACAACCCGATCAAACTAATATTTTTTCACATTTTTGTGGAATTTGGAAAAGTACCCATTCTGTGTAATTACATTATATTATATGCGTGAAAGATGAGCACAATTTTAAAAGATTGCCAACATCACTTTCCGAAATCGACCAAAAGAGACAACTACATTCTAAACTGGACTTTATGTCAGGCTTGTAGTCATTTTCGCCACAAAATTTTGCACATTAATTGGGAATCTTATGGGTTCAACCTACTGAAACCAAAGTAGGCTTACTGTTATACTTGCTATATCTGGTATCTGATAACTGAGACTCCGCGATCAACATAGATACGAGTAGATAGATAAAATCTTAAAAGCATGTTCTACAGATAAAACCACGAATATATAATCAAACACCAATCGCAATCGCAAATGAGTGTACTAAATAGACGTTTATGAGTATACATGTAACCAGTTTTGTCCGTCGTTACAGAATCATGTTTTACATGATAACAATCTCATTTATATCTCGGACAATCAAACGACATCGCAATTGCTCCGATTGTTAAACTAAACTGGCGGTAGGCCGCTATAAGGAGCATAAATCTCTTTAATTTATATACCAAAACATAATAAGGGGAAAATGTTATTCACAGCACTAGTGTCCGGCCATCTCACCGAGCTACGACGTAATTTATTACTTAGACTTTTACGTCTATAAAAGTAAATAAAGCTCATGAAATAGCTATAAATCGCCTTACAAAGAACGGCGATACATACTGCGTGTCCCGGTAAAGTCTCTTTTGGTAAGATACGCTCAGACACGACCTTTGAATTATGTGTTGTTACGGCGATGTAGTGCTAAACGGTTACATAAATTACTGCAATGATTTGTGGTTAAGCCGTTTATGTGTCTAGTTTAGTCTATAAAGTGAAAAGAATGGGAGTGGATTTTGAAACGTCCTATCGTTACTTTTATGGGTGTATTGTGAAATATGTAGGGATAAAGTATATGTAGCCTTCGTAAATGGGGAAGAATGTAAAATGATAATATACAGTACGTTTATAGTAACTTGATAGTTTCGTCCGTAACACTACATAATATTAAACTAGAATTCGCTCATATTATAATGTTTCTACCTGTATATTTTGAATTAATTCAAATAGAGCAAACGCAACTTCCACATAATACCTACTTAAGTATTACAATCCGTAGTGCTAACTGGGCTTCTCCAAGACTCCAAGTTGCCTAAGTCCCTATGCGCCTTTGATGGCTTAAGTCTTTGTTTCTTGCTAGACTTGGAGAAAAGTCAAATCCATTTTTTCCATGCCTACAATGTTGGTGTTTCATGATTAGGTATATTGGGTGTAGGAATCAACACAGTTCATTTATAGACCGAGATAGCAAAATATCTTAAAAAATATGACTCAGTTTGTTATGGGCCTCAGGCAACTACTGAATAAAACAAAATGTAGATAGATTGAAAACATGTTCCCATTACATAATAATTATTAGTTGGATATTGCCCACTCAATTCCCGAGTTACCAATAACAGTAACTGTATTTCAATGGAACAGTTAATTAATCAATCAGCTAGAAGCGATTAAACACATTATTTATTAGCTGTCAATAAAACAAAGTGATTATTTTAATGTAATAACACTACGTTTTAATTAATAATGATAGTCACGCATCAAATTACTTGACAAAATATTTGTCAAACTTTTAATTTTATTTTGATAAGCCAGAATATTCGTACAAATTAATTAACGTTTCATTTTTCTTTGATCTGGTTATTGTTGATCGATTCTCTTTCGCAAGCGGAGTGAAATCTCTTTGCTGTGTATTTATTGGTGATCAAAGTTATATGCGAAGTAACGTCCGTCATTAAAACGCCTAGTGATTACGTGTTATAAGTATGCATTATAATTAATCAGTCTTGACGACAACTCGAGGAAAAATAAAATGGCCGTCATTAAAAAAATTAATCGTCCGCACAGCCGATTTCAAATGATTACTTAACACTTCCCGACGGCACAGAAATCACACCTTTGAAGTTCAAATTAAGAGTTTCGTTTCCCTTAAGACGGCGACGTGGCACCTCAGCGGTAAGGAATGACTAACAGACGCTAACAAGGTATCATTATAAGGATGTTCACCCCACAATCTTTCGTATCGATAATTTTTTGCTCATTGTTTTTATTAACCAGCGATGAAGTACGATATAAAAACGATAAGAATTGTTCGTAATAGTCAATCTACATGATGATCACGCCCACTAGATTAGAACAATAATAACTGCTATTTAAAATTATCGCTGGGCATTTAGCAGTTCGTGAATTTACGAAGTAATCAGTACCTGTGTTTGATATTCAACAACATTTTAGTCAATTATTTTTAACACGACTTAATTTCTTTTAGCTCATCTAATATTAAAGATACAATCATAAAACTTAATTCACATATAGGATGCTACATCATCATCAAGTTTCACAGATATTTACTCTGTAAAGCCGCCTTGTTTAGTTATTTTATCCTTAACATTATTAAAAACAGTACAAAATTATATGAGTCATGATTTTATCGATGCTATCGATACTTTTTTACATCACTATGACTGTTTGGGCAGGTGGCGAAACACCCAGACAAAAGGCGGTCGTATCATTATGTTGTCTTGTTACTGCGTTCGCGCATCCCAACCGGGCAGCGATATAATTCAAACACCATAATTACTTCGTGCATTAATGGGATATTCCGCCAAGAAAACCCTCCCATGACTATCTAAAGTTAGACAACTTACGAGCTATGTACTGTTATACAATTATGCCAGTTTGTAATTTCGCATCGATACGTCTAAAAGCCGTCTCGCCTTCTAGGCGTCTTACTTATTTTAAGTCTTTGATTGTTTCAATAAGAACAGCATCAAGTCAAGGCGAATACTTTGAAATACCATATCCAATAGAGTAAACTTATTGTTCTGATGTTTCTTCTAAAACGTATTCTGATGACTCTTGATGTAAGATGTATTTAGGATAAATCCGGCATAATGATATTTGGAAACTATGCTTACATTATTACTTCTGTTTCCAGTGTTGTTTCACAATGCGTTTGGTAATAAATTTATATTTTATAAACAATATACTACGTATAAATACATGTTCAAAGGAAAATAAGAAGCCAGCCTCCACTGACATACAAACCTAGAGTCCCAGACACTGCCTCTTTTTTTTCATGGAATAAGCCGGTAA